ATATTTATGTTTGTGGTTGTAATGTGACAAAATATGGAAAAGTTCAAGGGGTATGAATACTTTTGCAAACCACTGTATGTATGTATGTTTATATATTTAAGCTATTACACTGTTTGTAGCCACGTTTTTTGCCATTTGAAAATGAATGGAGCTATTTAAAACATCATAAAAATCCATTAAAATGTTTCTAAATCTTTACAGCACCTTACACATTTTGTTCTGGTTATGCTCTTTTTCATGTTATTGTGCTAATTTTAGCTACATTTTTTGCTACTTGTAGGTTTTTTTTCTATTTTAACTAAAATTCTGCTTCTTTACGCTATTCTTCCGCCTTTTTTCTATGTTTTAGTGCTTTTTTCTGCTACTTTGTGCAATTTATGCTTCTTACAGATGCTTTCTGCTAAATTCAGCTATTTGCTGCAATTATAGCTAATGTTTAGCTGCTATTAGCTAAAGTAAAGCAACTTTATTCAGCTAAGTTCAGCAAACTTGTGCTTCTTATGCTTCCTTATGCTTATTTTAAAAATCCAGCTCCTTTTTAGCTGTTTTACTGAACATTTCAGTTATTTCAGCCTTTTTACTACAAATTATCTCTGTTTTGTACTTGTATGCATATTTTTCTGCTAGTTTTACAAATTTTTACTAGTCTTTCTGTATCTGGGTGGTAATTTCAATTTGTGCCTGCTAATTTTAGCTTTTTTATGCTACTTTAGCTATAGATCTGCTTCTTCTGCTTTTTCCTACTTTTTACTTACTTTTTTCTGCTACCTGGTGTTATTTATGCTTCTTACAGATGTTTTCAGCTATATTAAGCTATTTTAGCTCTTAGCTTTTAGATGTTTTCTGGTTTCAACTAGATTTGTGCTCTTTTTTTTTTACCATTTTTCCGCAAAGTTATGCGTTTTTGCTTCTTTCAGCTTTTCAAAGTTAAGTGTAACACTTTTCCTTTTTAAATATTTTCAGCTCAGTTTCAGCAGCTTTCAGCTTAAAGTGTAACTTACCCCAAAATCAACTTTTTTTTAACAAATAACCTGCCCAAATTGTGTCTTAAGGGTAATACCTTGCTATTTTTGACCTAAATTTGACATTTTCGTCTAAAATAGTTTAAATCGTCAATATTTGTTCAAAAACGGCTTGGTGCTGCCATCTAGGGGTTTAAAAAAGACTACCACGTTTGAAGTACCTTGTGACGTGTCACAGTACTGTGCTCATATAAAAGGCTCTCTGTAGAGACACACCCTGCAGAGATTCAGGAGTTAGCCATAGCATTGTTGATGGTAGCTGTGGTAGAAGCTGCCTTCTCCTCAGCCACAGTGAAAACATGGAGTCTATCAGTCATCAAACAAACTGAATTAACTTACACATCCTCTTTGTGCTTCAAGAGTTTTAAACTGTGGTTGTTGTGYCACGTAGTTTAGATTGGGCCAAAAATACACACACACACTCGCACACACATATTGTCCCCACATGTGCAATAAAACATGTCCACACACACACACACACACGGCTCCACATAATAATAATAATTATTATTCTTATTATAGATCATAGCCACAGCCTTACTGTGTTCAGGAAATAATAAAAGTTGAAGATCAGCGGCTCATTCCGCCATAAGTCCCCATAAGTGCACATAAACCAGAACATGTGCCTCCGCTGCTGAGGGGTTTTACACATCAGGATGTCCGGACCCCTGCAGCAGGCAGCGGGATGATGTCCGGACACCTGCAGCAGGCAGCAGGATGACAGAAACTTACCTCGAGGCAGTGATGGAAAAAAGACGTGGATGTCCGTGATCAGCTCTTCAAACTGCTCCTGAAAAATTTTGAAGCAAGTCCTGGTACGGACCGGTCCGAAC